TGTATAAAATGGCTACTCAAAAGGAAAACACATGGCTACCTCTAACATTGCTGTTTACAAAACCACTCAGATCAATATGCCACATTGGTATGCACTGTCATGCATTTTCATTGATCTAAAACACAAGGAAATGCATTCAGCAGGACATTTTCACAAAGCACAGCAATGCAGAAAACAGGCACCAATATGGGGATATGGACTTCTGAAGGAATGTTGTGCGTTTTGATTGCGTTACAAAATGCATCCAATTGCATGCAAGCATGGGTGGGGGAAATTAGCCCATATTAGTTCCTGGTTCTAGCACTTCCATTTTTCATTGCTGAAGTTGTTCTATACAAGAAATATTTGCCTGTATATATCACTTTTTATCATATTGCTTTCAAGGACTGGTGGCTTCCAATCTATGTTATGGATCTTTTCTGCATTCTAAATAACACAAATGCACAACAGGATAATAAATCATTATAAGATTTTATTAATTGCAAAGTTTTTTTATTAGATAATACACACTGTGCAATTAAGACTGTAATCTAATCTTTGCATTTTTAAATTAAATTTGATCGTTATATATATCTGCCAAAATATAAAATAATAAAACATAATTACAGCAGCTATTTGTAAAAAGTATGACAAAGCACATTAAATCATGATCATAATACAAAATACTGTAATGTCAAGTAAACTCAGGTGGCTTCCTATAGGAAGTCAAGATTGTCTGTTCTATGTTATAAATGAAATATCTTTTAATAAAAAACTCACATATAAGAGACAGTTATTTTTATTAAAGGACAGGAGCAGTTTAAGGCCTCCTTCACACCTAAGCGTACGTTAAAGCATATGCAAAAGTTTGCCATTGTTTTTAAAAGGAGAACTATGGGGTTAAGGCTTTTCCCCATAGTTCTCCTTAGGGTGACGGGAGGACACAAACTAGCGTCCTTCCGTCACCCTAGGCTCAGTATACCGCGAGCTGTAGCTCGAGGTATACTGAGACGCCGCAATATACCACAAGCTGCTGCTTGCGGTATACTAAGACGCCGCAGCTAAAGCGGATCCCGACAATTATGTCTGGACCCGCCCAGCTGCGTGACTGACAGCTGGCTCTGCCTATCTAGATGCAGAGCCAGCTGTACCCGCCCCCTCCCCCGTCCGTTCCGCCAGTCAGCGCTGGTGGATCGTTGGGGAATCCAGCCCCTCCCCTGTCACGGCAGAGAGCCGTGACAGGATCAAAAGGTGAGCGAATGCCGGTATGTGTTCGCTCACCTCCCGATCTACTGAGCCGACCTGTGACAGTCACACTGTCACAGGTCGGCTAGAACTATGAGGTGAGTGGAAAGCACTCACCTCATAGTTCTCCTTTAATGGCGCAAGTTCACATCTGTACACTGTGTTGACTTGTATTGGCCAAAAAAGCTGAAGTGTAAGTAAACCCTAACAATAAACTTCCCCTTTTTTGCTCCCTTTTGGTCTGCTACATATACCAATGAAAGTGTCTTGGTATATATGTTTGATAAGTGCAAAAAAATACCTATTGATTTTGCCAGAAATCTTGTGAGCTGATAATTTTGTGTGCTTTCTGTCTCTACATAAGGAGGAGTTATGGAGAAGAGGAGGAGGAGGAGGAGAAGATGGAGGTCTGTGGGGAAGTAGGCAGGGTTGACACCACGTCCTTAGGAATTCGGAGCCAAACATGCACTGTGTTTTGGGTAGGATCACGCTATATTTCTGGCACATCAACAATTATATTTTTGTATTTGCAGCATATTTAAAGGGATAAAACATGGGTAAATGTGCATGTATTGCAGAGATGTACATCATTTTTTTTTTTTGCCGTGACATACTCCTTTTAATGTCGGTTTTTTGGATGTGTCCATAAGCATTAAAGAGTTTATTTATGGGAATAGTAATATACATCAACATGTGACAATGCATCTGCCCAAAGCAATAACAAAATGCAGAATAATGCAGATGCATAGGCGTGAAGCCAGCCTAAAAAATGTCACTACACCCCTCCAGCAAACCTTAAATGCCACTGCATGAGCTTTTCAATCTTTATTATCTTCAGTATTTCATACTTTCCAAATTGACTGGTGGACCATCCTGAGCTGAACATGGAGGGTGGAAATACCTAGCTAAAGCAAAGACAGCCTCTGTAGCAGGTTGGCATCTAATGAAAAATGACCAGTCTGACACAGATCCAATCCTCTCTGTTGTCATCTTGGCATGTGTAACAACCTCTATTAACTGCAGACAAACAACTAAATACACAGGTACAATACATACTGTATATGGGAGCCGTTTTACATTCCATAGGATCTGTATTTCTGTCCATCCAGTTTTGATGTTCACACAGCTCAGCACCACTGCACAGCTCTGCCTAGCGAGGGGACATGATATTTCTCTGCTGAAGTTTCACTTTCACTTACAAGCCCTGTTTATACCCTGTGAGTGCACAGTGAAATGAGAAGCAGCACACCAAGGAGCTCATCTGTCACTCTTCTCTCTCCTATAAGTGTGCTCCTTGCCCTACCTCAATCCTGATCTTCTCCTTGTGCTGCTACTCTTTCAGCTATGTTCTACACGCTGTACAATAGACTGCAGTTGGCTAATTCCCAATGAAAAGTATTTACACTGCTTGTATATTAAATAATACATTTAATTATGTATTTATGATTTCAGAGCTACATTAATTTGTGGCTTTTATACCTGCCTGGAGTTGTGCTTTAAACTGAGCCTGTGTTACTAGCTCAAATAATAAAAATAATCACAGGAGTGACTAAAATGCACCATGAGATGCCTCAGCTTACGGGAAATTATCCATCTTGCCCCTCAAGGAGCACTGCTTGAGCCTCCCCACAAGCTTGAATTTGTCAATATAAGCAAACATTGGACAGGCCTGAGCTTAGCCAAGTATGCCTATATATTCAGAAAGTTGGTATTTGCATATGGTTTTCAGGGGCTCCAGTGCTCTGTGGGTGGCAAGATGGAAAATTATTATTTTAAAGCACAATCTGCACAAACAATTACAAAGCATTAAGCAAAATACATATTACTTTCATGATGAGTAAATTGATGCGTTAGAAATATCGAACCTTAGTTATACGGCACAATTAAGACCATAATAAAAATTGCAAATGCAAATACATGTCAATAACACTAAGTGAATTTAAACTACAGAAAAATCTTAAGTGGAGTGATTAACATCCAAGTGAAAAGTGGTAAAATCATTAAAAAACATGTACATTTTATGAAGAAATAAAAATTTACAGCTTCCCTTTTTAAAAATATACTAGTTGCTTTATCAGTTGCTAACGAGACTTTTTCTGTTTATGGTTTGAACTGAATTACTGTTTTCTGGTATTTTATTACATTTAAAAATGTTGATCTAAAATCAAAGCTTGTGTAAAAGGAATGCACTCAAATGGTAATATTCCCCATTTAGAGGGGTTTACGGGATTATTTGTAGATTATGCGCTTGCATTAACCTGCCTAAACCCTATATTTTTATGCCTGTTACTGCAGTGCACATTATTGCACTGTATATATGTGTTGTGCTGCATTGCCATTCATTTAAAATGACACCCCAATACACATATACAGTGTAAACATACACACCTGCACAGATATGAATGCTCTGGGTGTTGTAGTGAGCTGCTCTGGCCAAAATAGTGGAGGTGTGTTTTTCATATGCTGAGCCAAGTTAAGGAGACGTAAATGGACTTTCTCAACGCATGTTGCGTTGAGAAACCCTTTTCACTTTCAATGGCTCCTTACATCAGCATATGAAAGATGCATGTTAATGCATGCATAGATGTGAATCTACCCTAAAACTTTGACATTCTGCAGAAGTCAACTTATGATGATATAAACCTCACATCGTTTTATTGTGCCTTACCCCAAAACATGGATTAGTCTGATTGTTCTAGGAGGGGCCTTTCCTGCGTTAGCATAACTCTGACTCTAAAGTGTATGTAAACCCTAACAATGAAAAAAAACAAAAACCTTTTGATCTTGTCAAAAAATCCAGAGGTATCCTGTGCACTCTGCAATCTTTTCTCATGCAGTTGAATCAGCTCTGTCTAACTCACTTTCTTGAACTACAGAACACATCCCCTTCTTTGCCACATTGAGATGGGTGTTCTCAATTTCAGAAACAGAGCCGAAACCATTTCTTGCAATTTTAGTCCAGAAAAGGCAACGTGTTATCATCCCACAACAGGAAAATACTTGTTGAGTGCATTTCTGCCAGGATCAACAAGTCTTTTTCTGTATGTGCAGTTTTTTCAAAAGGATAAACCATGGGGAAATGTACTCAATACGGGTTATTTGCCTTTCTGTGGTAATATGACAATATCCAGTAGGTTCTTTACTTGTTAGTTTCCCTGGTTTGGTAGTTAAAGACACTTCTGGCATTAAAGGCCTTTTAGTCTGGTAAGTACAATGATGAGAGTTCCCCATAAACTCTAAAAAGGTGTAAAGGTTACTTTCAGGAATTGTACTATTAATATTTACAGTTAATGTTTGGAAAACTTAAGAAAGGTCCTGTTTTTTAGTGGATAATAAGAACCAGGTTAATAGATTTGGAACGACTTGATGTCCATTAATACTTTGTGATTTACTGTAAGGATGCATTGTCTAATATAATGGAAAAAGATTTTCGGACCAGCTCCTTTGTTCAGCTGATCTAGGGATGCCAGCTGAAGGGGAAGCTCAAGAACCGGCCAGTTTGTTTACTGCTTTGCATAGCCGACTAGTTATTTAGGTATGTACTATAAACCCAAGGATACTATACAGCAAATGACAGATGTTCTACTGCACTTTATATTAAATTACAAGTTAAAATCTCATAACTATTATAACTATTGTTTTGCTTTTGGAAGGTTCAATTTATGATCACCTAAATTAATTTTTAACAGATTTTAAATACCTCTAAAATTATATTCGGCAACACAAAATGGCTTTGTCCAGTTTATGAACACTGACTCTAAATCAGATTCTAAATGTGGAAACATTCAAATACCAAAGTGATTGGTTTTCATGAAGACTAAGGTAAATCAAAACATCAAGAATTAACATTAAACTCGAACAACAAATCCTTTCTTGTGTGCAAAGAACCCAAGGGCGGCCACTGAAGCTACGAATGTAGACAAGCCAATGAACCTCACTAAACCTCGAGCGGATGGCAGATTTCTCTCCAAAAATGATTTGTTGAAAGGCAATGCAGGGACATCCTGAAAAGAAATGATAATTTTGTTAAACAGTCCAATAATTTATTTCCAGCTGTTCATTATAATGCATGAAAAATCATGCCTCTTTTTTTCCTGAACTGAGAAAAGGGAATTACATCCTTTAACCCTTTCGCTGCCAAGGACTAAAATGTTCCGGAGGGCTTGGCAGCGAAAGGGTTAAGTAGATCTAAACCCAGTATAAAATATCAGAAACATTAACATGTTAATGCTTATTTCAAATGTTGTTATTAATCTTTTATGGGCCTGTGTTGACAGTCCTTGGGCTTGGGTCAATGGCATCAGTGTGAGATGCTTCTGAGATCATTCAAAATGTATTCGACTGCTGCTTTAAGCTGGATTTGCATTCCTATAGACTTGTGTGGGAATTCAACCTGCTTGAAGTGAACAAAAGCCTATTAATAGAGGCCCTAAATCTGCAGCTTTTATTTAAAAAAATAACTAGTGATCTTGCACTGAAGGTCCTTGTCCTGGCACTTCCTCTTATGGGGGGACAACAGTTTCGGAATTGTGGCCCCTAGGTTGTCACCCTGTCACATGCATGCCTGGTGGAGACTACAAGCAGCATGCTGACACACATTGTGCAGGAATAATGTCACTACCAGGAAACTGGTCTTAAAGTGGACCTTGCAAGGTCCCCTTACATTGCCCCCCACCCCCCTATAAATCAGCAACTATTAGTTTTTTGTTACTAATAGTGAGGTACCGTATTTGCCGCCGCATAAGGCGACTGGGCGTATAAGACGACCCCCTACTTTTTGTGTTAAAATATAGGTTTTGGGCTATACTCGTCGTATAAGACGAGTATAGCCCAAAATAATGTTTAAATGCACCCACTAACCTCCATGGCGGTATTCCCGAGTGTGGCTCGGGGGGTTAATTTTCAGTACCATAAGCGGTAACACCAAGCCACACTCGGGATTACAGTCTCTTACCTTTTCACGATCCCCGCAGTGTCCTCAATCTTCCGGGTTCCGTCCTTCAGCTACATACAGTATACTGCGCTGAGCCTATCACGGCAGGCTTTGTATTCATTAATACAAAGCCTGCCGTGATTGGCTCAGCGCGGTATACTGTATGTAGCCAAAGCTACATACAGTTTACTCGGCGTATAAGACAACCCCTGATTTTCGGGCAATGTTTTTGGGTCTAAAAACCTGTCTTATATGCCGGCAAATACGGTAAGTATAAACCATGATGTAAAGAAAAACATTATGGTTTATACTTACCTCACCCCTGTCTTCTGCCCGGAATGCCTTGGAGAGGATGATGTCACTCTCCTTCTGGCTAGATCTTGGAGAAAACAGAGCAATGGAAATCTCATGAGAAGACACTCTTTTACCAGGAATCTTCCCTGAAAGGTAGTGGAGTCATGCTGAGAGATGCAAAAGACAGGGGTAAGGTAAGTATGAAATAATAATTTATTACAGGTACATCTTACACCTGCTAACAGTAGGGGATTTGAAAAGGGGAGGAGGCATTTTACTGCAAGGTGCAGCTAAAGTGACACTAAACTAAGGAGTAAATCTTTAAAAAAAAAACGTCAAGTACACCAACTATTAACAAAAATGTAGCTTAATTGTGCATCACTCAGTTGCAGATCCTCAAATCATCTCTGAATTGTTGCTGACACTGTACTTCCTTCTGGAGGGTGGCTACTTTTGCTCCCCATGGTCCCTGTGTGTGTTGTAAAGTAGCCCCCACTCCGAGCTCACTCCTTTGATGGACTACAATCTCACATTTAGTTTACTAATTTGTATTGAGTGTAGTCCATCACGGGAGTGAGCTTGGAGAGGTGGCTACTTTACAACACACATAGGGACCAGGGGGAAAAAAGTAGCCACCCTCTAGCAGGAAGGACAGTGTCAGCACCAATTCAGAGATGATTTGAGGATCTACATCTGAGTGATGCACAAATAAGATACATTTTTGTTAAGCTAGGGTACTTGACTGCATCATTAAAGTGTAACTCCTGTGTTTTGTGTCACTCTAATGCTGGAGTAAATGTACATAGACAAAAACATTGTGTCCGAAACAGCCTGGAGGAGATTAGCAGCTTTGAGATCCAAAAAAGGGATGAAAAAAACTGAAAACAATATTTTATGAAAAAAGACTGATGTTATTTATGATGAAAAAGCTTTAGTAACTTTGTTATGCAGTATAGGCTTGGGTCTACTTTCTGTGTACAATAGCATTTAATTGTTTATTACAAGCTTCATAATTTAAGTGGTAAAAGAAATCTGTTGCTAAAAAAAATAATAATGTGGCCCCTGCAAAGAAAAAACAGAATACTCGTATCTGTTGATATCTGTGCCACAAATTTCAGCAGTAGTGAAGTAAATCTGCTGGCTGGAGATCCTGCAAAATACAACACTTTCAGGAGGGTCAATTTCTGGTTCGCCACCCTCAGTGGTTCAATCCAATGGCCCCTGTCACCACTATATCTTGTAATGATGTAGAGCTGGGTGGGAGGAGCCTTCAGGGAAACAGCAAATTGACAATCTCTGCTAGTGATCAACTATCGTTTTGTTTTCTTCACTACTGCAGAGATCAGTGGCCCAGACAGTAGGAGAGGTGATTATTCAGGGTCTTCTTTATTTTTAACCTTTAGTGATAGAATGGTTTTAACTGAGTGCAGGTAAAAGTAAACTGAAAAAAGCCATATGCACAATGAGTCAACAGAGCACTGGATATGGAGTGAAAGGAATCAGCTCGAATGTGTTGTAATACTAACATGTAATAATGACTTGTGTGTTCATGACAAAGCCCTATCTTATTTACAAATGATAACCATTAGTACCATTATCCTACAGCTGCTTCCCACCCACTTTAATTTGCATCATCTGTCCCTGCAGAGTCTGACATATATTGCTCAGCTATAAGGGATTTGTAGGAAATTAACAAGCTGTTGTTTTACCAAAATGATATTTTTACATCTATATCATAAAACGCATTAATTATATGAATTGAAGAACAATGTGGAACTTACCACGGATTCTGGTTCAGGCACCCATATTTCATTTTCAGAAATGAGTCCCATTTTGCACATTATCTGTAAGGAATAGTAATACATTTTATGCTTTTATAATTTCACAGTTTGAAAGAATACTGGTTTGAAATGAACAGCTTTGAAAATGATTTGATTGGAGCTGAGAAGTTAAATTATAGATTACTTGCCTGCTTAACAGACTGTGCTTTCTAGAAGCATAAATCAAGCAGAATGAAAGACAATACATATTGAACAAAGTATTAAAACTGTATGTAAGATACATGTATTTGTTCCTTAAACAAAACCTGTGAGTAGATGAAAGTATTTATTGTGCTAATTACATTCAATAGCCGGCGCATTTAGGTTCCTGCTCACAACCCTGCCAAGTGCCCAAAGACCCCTAAAACAGCAAACAGCTTCTGTGGTCACTAGCTCTGACTCCTGGTTTGGGTGGTCACCCATCACAGTGATGGGACAGTTGTTAGGTCTAGGGGGCGAGAGAGAGAAGATCAGGGCTACTGAACATGGAAGTTGGCTGCTCTTTGGATATTAGAGTGCCCTTATATACACCTATATTAACTTACTGGACATAATATGGCATTGCACACCCCCCTTTGTGGCCATAAGATCTTCCACTCTTTTTGGAGAAGGTTATCCACAAGATTTTTTTTAGTGTCTGTGGGAATTTGTGCCCATTTAATTCTGTGCAGGACACTTGAGTTCCTCCAGATCAAGCTTATCAAGCCATGCCATTATAGACCTGGCTTTGTGCACAAACTCTTGCCACAAGGTTTGAAGCATACAATTGCTTTACATTTAATTTGTTTATTCTAGCACTCACAGTAATCTTCACTGTAAACTCCTGAATGCAATAATTTGGAGGGGTGCCCACATATTTTTGGCCGTATCCTAGGTGTCATGGTCAATTGTCAACAAACTTTTGGTCATAGAATGGTTGATGCCAATGTTGCCGTGCTGGAACACCCCAGAAGAAACAACTGTAAAAGAACCATTTCATTGTGATGAAAATGAGATTCGTTTTCCCAATAAGCCTTTGGATTAATCAGTAATGCCGCTAGAATTTTGTTTTTATTCCTTGTGTCTTTTTCTTCATTGTAAGTCTTCTGCTAAAACCATGTATTTGAAGGAGAATGAAATACACATAATTAGAGCCAACGTTTGACACTGAGGCTGTCACACATCGGCTCTATTGATCGAGAACTGAACAATCACATACCGCTGATTGCTCAAAACCCGTTCACACCAATTTTTTTTGCGTTGCAGCATGGTTAGCTGCTGGAATGCACTGGATCGCATACTGCAAGCCTCCCTGCTTCTGTGGTGGGAGGGGGCATGGCGGTACATTCAAGTCAATGGCACTGCAGCCACACCGTGCTGGAACGGACTGGAATTGATGTGAACTGGCCCTCAGTTCCCGATCTTCTCCCTACAGAGAGCAGTGACTGTCAGTCACCGCTCCTTGCAGGTATTCCCCCCTCCCCTCTCTGTTCCTCCAGTTTTGACTGGAGGGACAGACAGAGAAGGGGGGGGGCACAGCTGGCTCTGCCTCTACTCCTATCATTATTGGTCTCGGTGACAATGGTCACCAGGACAAATAGAGAAGGTGAATCTACCCAGTGGGGATACAGACAGCAACAAAAACCTGACATGGGTTTTAAGTAAAGAAGGACATAGCAGAAACATTTGGAAATTTGCTTTAGAAACTCAAGTTGCAAATTGTATCATAAAAGAAAATTAGGAAAATCGCTGGCAGAGCAGATATTTCAAAATGTACTCAACTGTTCAAGGGCATGAGAAAATAAATTTTCTGCTAAAACGCTAATGCAGCTTTTTTTTTTTGGCTTCTAGTCTGTAAGAAAATACTGTTACGTTAGCATGCCATCAGATTTCATAGCAGCAGTCAGGTGAGAGATCTGCCATCAAATTAGACAGCAGCAAACGTAACATAACATAAAGTCAAACATTTAGCATGTAGTGTCCTTCTGACATTGGTCTGCTGAGTACATCAAGCTGCATTCAGCATGTTACCTTCTGATTTTAGCAAGCAATAAAACAGAATCATGCAAAACTGAAGCAGGTCTAAATAAATAGAAAGAATGCCAAATGATTCATTGATTATTCACCCTTTTTCTGACTTGTCAACATAATTAAAAAATGTGCACCTAAAACTAAACATATTAGCAAAAAGATAAATACCTGTAAGCACTTGGGCCAGATATGGTTATAAAATCCTTTATTATTAATAAGAAAATAAGGTGCTCTAATAAAAAAAAATGATTTAACACCAATGTGGCACTTTCACTGGCCATGGTGGGGCATTTTTATCTCCCACTGACCACCAATGTAATAAATTCATACTCCAAAATAGTTCACTCTACAAACTATGTTGTATGTTACATACTCCTCACTCCTGCACTCTATATGATCTGTTGTACACTCCATATTTCTGACCGTTGTACGCCCTACACTTTGTTATATATTAAATGCTCCTGACTGCTACATTCCATATGCTCTGTTATATGTTATATACAACACACTTAAAGGTGAACTATGAGATGAATGATTTCCACTTACCTCATAGTTCTAGCCGACCTGTGACAATGAGACTGTCACAGGTCGGCTCAGTAGATCGGGAGGTGAGCGAACAGATACCGGCGTTCGCTCTCCTCTCGATCCTGTCACGGCAGAGAGCCGAGATTCCCCCCTCCGATCCGCCAGCGCTGACTGGCTGAACGGACGGGGGAGGGGGCCGGTACAGCTGGCTCTGCCTCTAGATAGGCAGAGCCAGCTGTCACTCACGCAGCTGGGCGGATCTTGACATCGATGTCGGGATCTGCTCCGGCTGCGGCGTCTCAGTATACCGCGAGCTGTAGCTCGCGGTATACTGAGCTTAGGGTAACGGGAGGACGCTAGTTTGTGTCCTCCTGTTACCCTAAGGAGAACTATGGGGAAAAGCCCTAACCCCATAGTTCTCCTTTAACCGCTGCACAATACACGCTATGTTGTACATTAGATACTGCTGACCAATTCACTCTACAGTATATGCTGTGTTGTACATTACATACTGCTGACCTGTGCACTCTGTATACTATGTTGCATATTACATACTTTGAACCACTGCATGCTCAAAGCTATATTGTTCATTGCATACTCCTGATCTAATTGTTGACTGTCTCAACAGGTGCTGATTGCTAAGAAGTCTACAACTATTTTGTTCATCTTTTAGGTAAGCACAGATTAAGTTTAAGCTCAATGCCAATATTCTTTGTTTAGAGAAGCATATGTAATGGCAGAGTTTCAATGTTTAAAAAAATGATTCTTTAAAATAAATCATATATAGTATATGCCAGGAAAGAACAAAACATCAACATGACCTTCAACTACCAAAAGTGACACCCTATTCTGTGGGTTTTTAATTTTTTTTTTTTTGCAGATTCTGTTTCAAAATAGTTAGTTATATGTGGTTACAGTTTTATTTGTTTTCAGCTACCAAACAGTGCTTCTGGAATAAGGCAATTCATTGTGGTATTTCCTCAGGTAAATTAGTGTGGCTTGTGCCTTCTACAGAACAGCATCTATGTCAGTGAGAAAACAATGCTGTTGGATTATGAGCAGTCTTACAGACAGACGCAGAGAGACTGAGAGGAGGGGCTACATGACTGGGGGGAGGAATAGCCCCGGGAGAAGGAGTTAAAAAATAAAATGGGGATAGCTACTCTTACCTGATTGGACATTGGGGTCAGGTGTCCGGGAGGAGCCACATGGGTAGGAACTGCAAGGGCTGAGCGACGTTCTTTCTGGAAAATCAACAGAGGAAGCAGGCTGTCCCACCCTCCCTGAATTTTGTGGTTCTGCTGGTTGCAGGGTTTTTTTTTCGGTCACGGCAGCTTGGCGGGTTAGGGGGTACTTGCGGGGTCTGAAAAGCTGAGTTGATTACAAAAATGGGGGGCCATCTGCTAGTATAGGTGCTTTCCCCCTGTTGGTGTCAGGATTTGTAGGGGGCAGGGCAAGGCCCCTTGGAAGTAGCAATTGTCCTCGAGCTGGTTGGGGTGCGAGTGGAGTTTTAGGAGAGGCCTTATTTGGGCTGTTGGGCACTCAAAGACCCATTCTCAGGTCAACAGTCATTTAGAGTATTCATTTCTATATTATTTGGTTTATTACTTTTGGTTACTGTTAAAGTTGGTTTGTTGATAAAAGGGCTGCTGTTCGCCGTTAAAATCCATGTTGCTAAGTCTGTGTGTTTATTGGGGTTTTTAACAGAGGGACAAAATTGACGAATCCATCATTTAAGGGCTATTCATAAAAGGTGAAGAGTTTGGAGAAGGCAGGAGAAGTGAACAATTTAGGACAACATAGCTGAAGTGGAAAGTGAGCTGAATTGGAGATTTTTTTTCAAATCAGCTATGTTGGCCTAGATTGTTTACTTCTCCTGCCTTCTCCAAACTCTTCACCCTTTTGTGAATAACCATGTTAGTCTTTTGTTGCATGCAATCGGTTTGTGACAGCCTTTTGATACATATGTGCAATATCTGACAAGCTTTTACTTGTGAGCAATCTATGATTGTTTTTTACCACAAAACTGCTGTCTGTAAACAGTCTTTTTATTACATGCAAGCAATCTATTAAAGGCTTTTGTAGCATACAAGCACTTTCACTAGTTTCTGTCATATACACAGAAACAGTGTGTGACAGAGGAGGACAGCTATCCTGCTACTGAAAAACTGAATAAAGCCTCTACAAAGGAATGGCAACCATATCCCTTCATAGCAAGGCACGTCTGCCTACCACTGTGGCCTCCTGTGCTCCACCTGAAAGTGGTAAATCATAAAGATGCCCCCACCGTACACCTACCTACATCATTGTGGGTGCTGTAGTGACCTGTGGATGGTGCTACCTTGGTCCAAGTAGAAAATAAGTCACGAGCACACCTACAGATCTTCATCCAATAACGTATTTATTAAGGTTCATTCAGCATTTCACAAAAAGTGATGTTTCAAGACCTCGCAAGGTCCCTTTATAATTATTTTGTCTGTGAGGTCTCA